TCCCTCACAACAGCCACACTCTGCCCTTTAGTTGGATTCCGGTCTCCACAATTATCCGTCTATTAAAAAAGATTGTCGGCGTGATCCATACGTAGATAAATTGCTGCTTGTTTTGTACCTCTTGATTCTTGATGACACTAGAAGCCCTAATTTTTAACGACTCCGTGGAGACCCAAATAGCCAGATAAACTTTACAAAAATTATCGATTAACAATTTCAAACATATACAAACTGTAAACATTGTATAGATAGAGTTTCCATATGGAAACTTACAGCGAATAGATGAAATTTAAACTGAAGCTCTAAAAGTAGAATCTCACCTTAAAATCACTCTCAGACACATAAGCGAGCGCGAGCGTCCTTTGTATCTTGAGACCGTGAGCGATTTTTAGATTTTTGACTCTACCTCAGGCGTCACAGATTGACGGGTATTGGAATCACTGTACACGTTTTAACACAAACCTTGTCTTAAACCCTTGATATTGTATACCGTTAAGTTCATAATGCTACTTGACCCATTTATGTGATGTTTATGTTTTAATCTGCTTAGTGTAAATTTGGTCTTTCCTTTGATTTCAGTCGAACTCTTAAAGTGTTGAGCTAATGATGGCCATAACGTTCACGTTCTCGATGAAAACATGGCGAGATTTACTTGGGATTTTCATCGCTTTTCAATTCTCGATCCTGCTAAAAGTGATAGCTTATCCAAGTTGCTGGAGGCAAGTTTTTAGGTTACGGCATCATTTCTAATTGATCGAAGCGCCTAACATATATAATATGTATATCGGTTATTATTTCATAATTATTATGAACCATATTGGAACACCGACGTCTGTAAAATACACAATCATTGGATTTCTAACAATCAAAAATGAAATAAGTGATGTTCAGACTAGGATTGTATTATTATCTGTTTTCTTGCTTTGAAGAAGACATATATATGCAATTAATTGTGGTAATTTGATAAGCATACCGAGTCTATGAAAACGTACTAGTTCTTAAGCGAAAACTGAATTAAGATTATTTACATAGATTCGTTTTAGTATGGTATAACTGTTGAAAGTACATTCGAACGGAGGCTACGAAGCCAAATGTATTATTAAAGCAAATAATTCAGTTAGCGCTACAAAGTGGGAAGAATCAATATATATAAATAGAAAAATTCATTGGATGACTGAAATATTTTCAAACTTACATATTTCATGACTATTGAAGACGACTCGGTATATATAAAAAATGCCGAAAATTTATCGTTATCCTAGATGATTCTGAAAATCCTAGAGAACCTAAATTTTCTGGCATAAGAATACTTATTTAATTGGAACTAATGCAGGTCGTGAATTGCCGCGCTCGTCCACTCTTCATCTCTTGGTGCCCCACTGCCTAAAGGTCGAAGGCATAACAGCCAGTATTTGGATAAAAATAAGCCTGAATTGTTTTCGAAACTTATTACGAGAGTTGATTTCATTTACTTCTTAACGAATTAGTGCTTTTGAAATTGATAACAAAATTTGTTACTGTCGCGTTTAGAAAAAATATTAAGCGCGAAATGTTTCCAAAAAGCAAACACACGCCAACTCAGAGGGTTTTCGCTCGGAAATTGGAAACAACAGAACCTGATTCAAAAATCGGACGTGTCATTGTGGCTTGAGAATCCCGTGCCGAGGATGAAGAAGTCATATATTTGCAATTAATTGTGGTAATTTGATAAGCATACCGAGTCTATGAAAACGTACTAGTTCTTAAGCGAAAACTGAATTAAGATTATTTACGTAGGTTCGTTTTAGTATGGTATAACTGTTAAAAGTACATTGGAACGGAGGCTACGAAGCCAAATGTATTATTAAAGCAAATAATTTAGTTAGCGCTACAAAGTGGGAAGAATCAATATATATAAATAGAAAAATTCATTGGATGACTGAAATATTTTCAAACTTACATATTTCATGACTATTGAAGACGACTCGGTATATATGAAAAATGCCGAAAATTTATCGTTATCCTAGATGATTCTGAAAATCCTAGAGAACCTAAATTTTCTGGCATAAGAATACTTATTTAATTGAATCTAATGCAGGTCGTGAATTGCCGCGCTCGTCCCGTCACTCTTCATCTCTAGGTGCCCCACTGCCAAAAGGTCGAAGGCATTACCGGTCGGACACTTCAGCGGACTCGCTTCGCATTACAGCCAGTATTTGGATCAAAATAAGCCTGAATTGTTTTCGAAACTTATTACGAGAGTTGATCTCATTTATTTCTTAACGACTTATTGCTTTTGAAATTGAGAACAGAATTTGTTACTGTCGCGTTTAGAAAAAATATTGAACGCGAAATGTTTCCGATAAGCAAACACGCCAACTCAGAGGGTTTTCGCTCGGAAATTGGAAACAACCGACCCCGATTAAAAAATCCGACGCGTCGTTGTGGCTTGAGAATCCCGCGCGGAGGTTCTAACTGTTGTTTGCTCCCATATTTTCCTTATAGAAACGTGCAGAAGGAATTAGTGCCTAATTTTAATATTAAGTTCAAATTTTTGTGTATAACGCACAGCATGAATGGAAAACACTTGCTGAGATTAGCTAGCCTTATCTCTTTGTAAATTGGGAAGTTTGTGCGTGGCTATGAACGCCATGTGCAAATGTGCAACCAAAGTTCGTATGACTGACTAGTGTATTAGCCTGCCAGAATTCAAGTGTGGAAAAGTTGAGTTAATCTGTATGCCTGATTCAGACCAATATTGCTCTATTTTAACGATTGCAATGGATTATTCGATTAGTCAGTAATTAGCTGCCCATCTATTTCATTTATCTCACTCATGTTTGACATGCCTGACTGATAATGATATGTTTCTCTTTGTGAAGTTTTAGTCTTCTTGATCAGGTCATTCTTTATGTGTCTATAAAGTAAATAAGGCGTAGTAGCTTACACTTACATTTGCATTTCTCGGATAGATGCAGTCTGAATAGTTAGAATGATTAAAGTTAATTGAGTAATTCACTCCGGTCAGTCCGGTGACGTGCCATCATGCTGAGATCATGATTTAACTGTGGATCAGAATTTTATTGACAAGATTAAGTTGCTCGCTGTTTTCTAGAATATATAATAACCTATTCATTCGGCTATTCTTCTTTACGCAGGTATTGAAAAATTATTCACATCTAGGTCAGTTTGTCTTAGTGCATTTCTCGAGTCGCCAAGAAAACGTGAGTAACCCCAATGTTTTGACCAGGATTTCATTTCTAAATGTGATAACATTGACCGAAAGCCAGTTTCTTGATCAGGCCGATCTGAGGCCAGTATTGCACCCGAGATTAATAGCACTAGTTATCTGTTTTAAGAACTGATTTTTGCCTTTAGGATATATGATTGCATTAGCCTAAGCGGTTAGGTGTCACGATGTTTGCTACCTATTGTGTCCTAGACTTTGCCTTATTCTGCGGATATTATCATTGACGACATTGAAAAATGAAAATATTTCAGCACATGTTGATTTATGTATAGGTTTTGAAACACAACTCTTTAACTCGATAATTATTGAATTAGGCTGTTGCATGCTCACTCTGTCAGATTAATTTTATGTTAAAGGTGTTTTCAATTTTTAAAATTGATATTTTTCTGAGCAGTAAATAGTGGACCATGTCCCTCTGAATTTTCTTAGGGCAATAAATTTATTATCAGATTCCCATTTGCACTTGATATTTAGTTACATGTCAGGCTGTCTACTGTAACTCCCTTTGATTGTGTTAGCAGTTACTGCGTCACTTCCGTGACGCCATTATCGTACGCCTATATAAGCTCTTCGAGCAGACCTTCAGTCAGTCTAGTAGGCAGTCACAGGCGAGAGCGAGACGTAGTAAAGCCATCATCATGTAGTCCACAGGACCCTGCCAGACTCCGGCGTTGAGTAGCCTCCGTTGTTAGAGTAACCATCTAAAACCTACCGTGTGTACTTACCACCAAGCTTCCTTGTATTCCTATCTAGTTCGTAAATATAGTACTAAGCAATTCGCCTCTCAATCAACCTGCCGCTTATTTGGACCCTAGATACGAACCCTTGGACCCTCAACTCCAATAAACCTAAGATCATCCGGTTATTAATCAATACTGAACTTTGATATAATTATATATTATCTGGCCAGTCAAGCCAAAACAATCCTGACAAATTGGCGCCCGAACAGGGACGAAATACCGAATGTGCAAACAAGTTCTAACGAAATCCCGAATGTGTAGGTTTTATGTTCGGCGGAATTTTATTCCGTGACAGTTGCGTATCCGATTGTCCGAACAAATTATCACCACAAATTAGGTGAGCTGAGAGCTTGAAACCGATCAACAAATTTAGCGCTCATATTAACTGTTAACTTGGAGTCACGCTCTACGCTATATATAAAATGGAATCAATCAGTTTCTTCTCTATTCGGGGGTAGGCGAGAAAATTGAAAATTAAATTCAAAAATAAATGCTATGAACATCACTCAGCCTTGTGAATGGGGCGAATGTCGGTTTGCAACTCAGACTATTGCTAAGAATCTAAGTTTTTGGTAACGTGTCAATATTGGCCCGTCGACACGATGCAGCACTAGCCAGTTCTGAAGTGTGTGCTTTTAAGAACTTTCAACTGATAAATTTAGCATCCAAACTCCAATGCTATTAATTCTCTGCTTTTCACATTGTGTTGTCAACGCTGATTTTATGTCATTCGTTCTATTGCGTGTTTCCATCCATTTATACGCGTACGAAAAATAACTGATATTCTTATTAAGGAGCTGCAGCACGCACTGAATTCATCCGTTAACCGCTACCAGGTTATTTGCAATGATGGGAGGAATTGTTGAAAAAAATATTATAAACAGAAAGTGAGAGTAAAAATTCTTAAAGATCGAAATCACGTCTTAGCACAGTAAAGATCTCCTTCTAAACGAGTTTTTCTTGGGGTAATCTTGTGCAAGGAAATTACAAGCATCGCTAGTTGTAGTATGGTCTTTAAAATGAAACAAGAATAAAACTTGCAAGTAATTTTTCACACGCTTCAAAAACACAACGTACGGTATTCATTTAATTTTCCTTGTGGTCTCCAGTTCGACATTCCAGCCGGTGGTTGTAACCCCATCAGCTGTAAAATCAAGAATTTAGAACTGAGTCAATTTATTCCGGCAGACTGAAAGATCTGTTTAGTACAGGCTTACAAAACATGTATAATGTGTACAATACACAAGTAACTGTAGACATGAAAATTATAGGCATATATCTGGCCAATTTACAAAAGAACCAAATTAACACCTAACCTCATCGGGCTAGAATTGCTTACAAAATAGAAGTTTACTCTACGAGTGCCACACAACGAAGTTGCATATTTCTTATTTATCTCGATTGCCGCAGAAACATTTTTGCGTAAAATATTTTCAAACATTCAGTGAATTTCTTAAACATGATTACGAATTCTCTGGAACATGTTGACTTATCCATATATCACAATTAACATCGTAAAGGACGCACCCGTTCTTCTCAAGTTTCAACTCCTACCTGCAAGTGGGTATGGCCTCGGTGGTGAAAGTAGCCTTATAGCCTCTGTATTTGTTTTCCTTGCCAAATTTAGTGTAGTCATTGTTCATGTAATGAAGGATGAGCTCCGACTTGTCACTTTTGAAGGCTGTTCCTTTCTCAATTTCTTCGCCACAAAATCTAATAAATCACGTAAAGTTTAATACAGCGTTCATAATGCAGACCAAAATAATAATTTCTAATCCTTCATGTTTATTTATTGAAATTTTTTTCATTTGTTAACACAGGGAATTTTTCATACTTTAATCGTGATCAACTGATGAAAATTCAAGCTATGTTGATATTACACGCAGCAGGCAATAAGTAAATGAATGAGTTAATGAATTTGCTTCATTCATACGCGAATCAAAAACCATGACACAACAAGCCATACATTTTCCCCTCCGGCACGGAGACGTCGGAGCGGATCTCGAGGTAGCTGAAGCCGCAGCGATTCTTGCTGGCACTGCGCGGCTCTATTTGGAAGTCTTGGAACGTCACCACCGCTCGCTGGCACTTCTCAGCACGGAAAACCTGCGTGTACTGCGTTTCTGGAAAAATTAAATTATGTAGGAGTTATCGTACTTTGTTCATACAGTTACTCGATAGAACTTTGACGGCATAGAAATAATAATTTTTTGTGCATGCAGTTGCTCGACAGAACACAGACATTATAGAAATAATCAATTTTTTGTGCATACAGTAGCTCGATAGAACACAGACAGTATAAAAATAATCAATTTTTGGGTCATACAGTTGCTCGATAGAACACAGACAGGATAGAAATAATCAATTTTTAGGGCATACATTTGCTCGATAGAACTCAGACATTCTTGTTATTCGTTATCATGCTGGTTGTTATTCGTTAGAAGAACGAATAACAAGAACACATTCTTGTTATTTTTTCGTCAGTTTACTGACAAAATGCTCGCTGAAAATATGCAACGACGTCTCATTAATTATGTTCATAGTCACACTACCAACCCACGAGGTATTCTCTAGTCGAATCAACGCTGAAACAACCGCCATTCAGGACATTTGAACCACGTTAAAAACTGATTCAGAAGGAAAGCAGCCTCACCGTTACTTTTTTACTTATATTTCCATGATACTCACTACTCATTAAGTTGAAGCACCATGAAAAATTGTCAATTAAACTTTTCCAATCAAAACAATCGCCAAGAATTACATACTGGTCGATGGCGCCTTGTCGGGGTAGCCAGGAGAGACGACCTCTGCACCAGAGGTTGAGATGACGGAAGTGTACGGAGAGAACTGCTTTATCAGAGCATCTGTGTTGAAATGTGAGTGTTCAGCGACGATAATGTAAACGATAGATCAAAATTGTTTGCAAGGTGATGCGTCTATCATGTCTGCATCAGGTCAAATTTTATTGAAAGTTGAGAATTTATTTTCATGGTTGCTTGATCATCTACATTCTATAACATCCAAATATATGATAGGTGTTTAAGATATCCCAGCAGTTTGCATGTCAAAACATTAGAGCCTGGCCTCGAGTCACAGCAGAGAATAATAAATAGAAACAGGAAAATATGAGTATCACTGTGATAGAAATAACGGATATACTGATGACCTTCCACCGAAGCGTAAACACAATTTCCCAGCTCAAGAAAGGTGAAGAGGACAAATGAAAACATGACCTTATCAGCCATGCATGGTGTTCAACAGGCCTAACCTATACAGCAGTGCTTGGTGTTCAACAGGTCTCGCCTGTGCAGTTGTACATGGTGTTCAACAGGCCTCACCTATGCAGCCATACATGGTGTTCATGAGCTTGGCGTTCCAGTGCGCAATTTTATTGCCCTCTCCCATGAGAGTTTGAAAACGAACATCTTTAGCGAGCATCACGCGTTTGCCGTCAATGCCATAACTCTGTTGGAGTTAAAAGCAGAGTGAAAATTACTTAAGACAGCATGTAAGAAAATGCTTAGCAACACTACATATATATAAATTTATTGCCAAAAATAAATAAATAACTTAACCTGGCTGGACCTAGCCCCTCTAGAAAGGCCTCCAGCAACGTAAAGAAGGGTTTTATTCACACCTAACCCTAACTCTAACCATAACCTAACGAGGTTGGCTTTTTTTATGTCCGGTAGTGTAGTTCATTTATTTTCGCGTCCAGTTTCTAAGTACGAACTAATTGCAGAGTACACAATCCGACGCGATTTTGTCCGGGTTTCCTACCATATCAGGTAATGTTACCGATTGTTTCCGGTTATTGTTAGACTTATATACCTCTTATATATAATTATTGAGGGTATAAGAATAATTATCATAATTATAATTAATTATAAGAGGTATTTGTATAAGAGGTATAAGAGGTATTTGTCACTCGCATCTGATCCCGCAATCAGTTAGTGTGTGCCTCACCCCCCGCTGATTCTTTTGGGTCCAAAATTGTGCATGTATGACTCACCCGGTCGTGGTACTGCATGAGAGAGTAGTAGTCGTAAGGGACTTCGAAGTTGATGGTCGGAGCTTTATCATAATTGTGTTTCATGCCAGGCTCAATGTTAGCCATGTACACAATGATGTTGTCGTCCCTGAAAATAAAATCTCAGTAAATTACGTATACTTGAGCAACACAACCTATACCATATAATCAATATGGAATATTATTATTAAAAACATCGATAGTGTTTGCCATCGCAAACACTTTTTAGAGTTCATACGAAAAATAATTTTATGATAAATGAAGATTTCAATAATTTTAAATAGAATTCACACATATTAATTTCTGGGATTTGTCTACCAATAAGATTCAAAATTAAACTCGTGACTATGTCAGATATTCAAGATTCAGCACATGTTTGATTCAATAATTTAAATGCAATTGTATTGAGTTGATTAATAAAATTGTGAAGTAATAAAAAGAAAATGCGCGTCCGCCTCACTCAGAATTCACATCGAAACAAGTGAATAATAAAATAACGAAAAAATTACAGTGCCAAAATGTATTGCCAAAAATAGAGTTCATTCTGAAAGACATCCACGAAAATGTGAAGTACAAGTAATTGTTCAATCAGTGTAGTAGTGAAGTGAGTTTGTGGTAACATACTTTCGTGTGCGAGATTTTTCGTTGCGTCTTTTATAGGTTTTGGCTTAAATTGAGCAATGAGAAGCTTGACATGGAATCTCAGTAAAGGAAGATTGAGAGTCAATGAATTCAGTGGAAGTCAGTGACATGAGTGGTGAAATTCGGTGAAAGAAAACAAAGCGTAGTAGTGATACTTTTCAAGGCATCTTATTTTAAGCCTGCGTTTACTAGGAGTCTAGGTATTATTGTTTTTGATGACGCTTTAATTATTATCTGCCCTATTTTACTAATTACTAGCTCATGTGGTTGTTTTCAACTTGCGTGCTAATCATACAGTTTGCCTTTAGGATATATGATTGCATTAGCCTAAGCCAGTGGTTCCCAAACTTTTTCAGGCTGGCGCCCCCTTTGGCCCCCTAGTGAATTTCTAGCGCCCCCCACAGACATACGCCACTTTCTTGAAATTTAGTACGCTGAAATTTTAAAAGATAAAGGTTAACCCCATATCGCCCCCTTTTCGCCCCCCAACCGCCCTCTTCTTCCTTATCGCCCCCCAAAATTTCTCCACCGCCCATGGGGGGGGCGATATCGCCCACTTTGGGAACCACTGGCCTAAGCTAATGAGGGCTGGACAGAGAAGGAAATGCTTTCCGAAAATACTAGGAATACAAGATGACCGTTGATGAGGATCCAGAGAGTACTACCACTTCCGATAGTTTATTGTATAGATTTTATAGTGAAGGTAACTCAGTTAAAGGTTTACGTGCAAGGTGTCTTTTATAATCTTAGGCTTCAAAAGACATTTTTATTCCTTCTGTTCAACCAGTTATTTTATTCTTGGAAGAAAATCAGGAACACTTCATGAATATGGGATAGGACGGATTAGGGCCTAAAGTTCAACGCCGACTCCCATTATACACGTACTGCTCTTCTTTATAATGCCGTGTTGAGTTTCACGCATAACGCGACCAAAATGAACTTTGAAAACAAACAGTCAAATAATATCATAATTAAGGATAAAGTATAATGGGAACATTCGGCGATTGTGGCCCCAAATGGCTTTGTCGCGCGACGGCAGAATGACTGACAGAATTCGGCTATGTGAAAGGGCAGCGGATATCTTCCGCTGCCCGTCAGCGGAAAGAAAAGAATATCTTCTTTTAATTGTGCCAAAAGACCTGCAATGTTGCGCCCAAAAGCAGTGCAGTAAGTTTTTCATCAAGCTTCGAAGGAACAAAATTTCGTGGATGTCATTGTCTAAGATTGAATGGAGAATGTATTTATTACGTTTTTATTAGAAAGAATCTAACGTGACTTCAACCAAATCAGTCAATTTAGTTTAGTATTGCATTTGCCGTCAATGTTTAAAGTAAGTCCTCGTGTAAATTAAAATAAGCGAATACAGTGAATGTTAGGTAATAAGTTAATTGAAATGTTGGTCGTGCGTGTATATTTCGCTTGTAAATACTTATTCAGGAAGCATTTCTAATGGTTAAATTTTATAATGGCCAATTATTTGTTAATGTGACAGAAATTTTACACTCCTATCACTATTTACCTAATATGAACCACTCAGTTCATGCAACTCCACACCTTACATCACGTAATCGTTCATACACTCTCACAAACCTGTCGCTTCGAGCCTGTTCGTGCTTCATCCCCAATGCGTGGCCGATCTCGTGAGTCGGTCCCCTTTCCTGTGAATAAAGCATCATAAACTCACATGTAATCATTAAAAAACTGTCATTATATTGGACTTCGGATAAGCTTTAATTGATGTGCAGATAAATTATTAAAATGCATTTTATATTCAATATATCACTCACTTTACAATACAACAATAAACTCGTGTTCAAGAAATTTTGTGATGCAATACTTGCTTATTAAAATTTAATCTTCCTCATTAAAATGACAAAACCGGGCTAGGTTCAAATTGGTACACATTTGCTGTTATAAGTAAATAATCATCTAGCTCATGAAATAACGTAACTGGATTCTAATCCAGTAGTCAAATCATAAATTCTTTTTCAGTACTCCTAATATTCAAATATATAATAACCAAACGCTAAATTTTAGATATAATGTCATGAAACCAAATTCCCGTTTAGTCTTACAATCGCTTGTAAGTGATTTTCCTTTCAAGAATAAAGCAAGAAATATCTTCAACAATCTTTCGAACATCATCCGGTGCTCATATTGGGACCGTTATTGCTTTTACATTAAACCCTCAACGCAAAATTTAGACAATACCACTAAAATTGCCACTTAACTCGCATAATAATATAATATATACTTATAACTGTTTTGCTGACGGTCGTATCTTGCTGCTTCTTATTCGAAACAATATTGATAACAGATGAAGTATACGAAACATGTACTTAAAAGAATCGATAATTCATCATTCACAACGACACGTACTGCGCAATTTGCGAGGCTGACTTTTGCTGACGGTCGTATCTTGCTGCTTCTTATTCGAAACAATATTGATAACAGATGAAGTATACGAAACATGTACTTAAAAGAATAGGTAATTCATCATTCACAACGGTACGTACTTTGCAATTTGCGAGGCTGACTTTTGTAGATTTGCCCTTCATGTAACCTATTTTGGAGTGACAGGTTTTATCGAGCCAAAACTCCATGTACTCGGAGCGCTCATCCGACTCTGCCATCTTGGAGAACTTGATGCACGTCTTGGCCTCCCAGGCAGCGATCGCCAAGTTTGCAGCAGTCTCGTTTACTTCCGCTGCCGAGTCAAGGTTAACGAAAAAGTTAAAAACGGTTTTAACAGGACAGATATTAGGCTTATTCATCCACCGTGAATGATACAGATAATTTAATGCTCAGTAACACGTTGCATTGTCAAACGTTTACAGTTCTCATTTGCTGGATTTTCTTTCACTATATAAAAAAAGTTCAACGAGAAGTTCATAAAGTTCACGGCAACACATAAAAAATCATATGTTGTATGTTTGTCAAGTTTTGGTGTTTGAGTTTGTATGTTTGAAGCCTGAAAAGAAAGTTTTGTGGTTAAAATAGTACATAAATAAGTGTTTACTTCAAAATAAGGGTTTGTCCATGCCCATCTTTGTTGTCGGACTGTTTAATTTTAAAATTATTAATTGGATTTGGGTTGAACAGATTCTGGGAGGCGTAATTCAAAATGATTTGGGAAAAATAATTCTCAAATTTCATTTATTTGTTCCTGGGCAGCGTAGCATTCGCCTAGCTGCTATTTTAATACGATGGAAAAAATGAAAGAGGACATCAAAACTACAATCAAGACAGTTGATTTTGCAACGCTTCAAGCTCGTAATGACTCACGATCCGATATTTTGTAGAAAATATTCACAACTCCGTCCTTTTTCGGCCAAAGACTTTCCATTGATAGCAAGTTTTTATCAAGAAAACTGTCCCATTGCTCCGCAGAATACAACATGTCGTCCAGCAAGACGGATCCGTCTGCTCGGCGTTGCACATCCTGGAAAACATTTTGAAATTAAATAAAGTGCATCGTTATAATGAAATGAAATATATTTCATTTGCCTGTAAAAATCGCAGTAGTACTGTGTGAAGTTTGCGAAAGTGCACCACTAATTCGAGCTACAATCCCTCGGAAGTTTTTGAAATTGATCCCTCGGAAGTTTCTCATTAATGGACAGTTTGAACGTGAAGCAATATAAATATTTCGAAGTTAATAACAAGGAACTGCACCATTGGAGCGGCATCGATGTTCACCAAGCAGAGGCAGAGCGTCAGGATCGTATGAAGAGTCTCCCGCCGAACCATTTTGAAAACCTTCGCTGCAACTGTTGGAGAAAATAAAGCAATCGGTTAAGGTATTGTCATAGATTTTGAACGTAGTTCATCGCAATAATTTGGGGGTAGAACTACGCAAGTGATCATGCGAAATGAACGATACGATTTTTTGACGAGCAGAAGAATTAGTTCTAAACGTACAATGACAGTCGCCGGTGTTGTTTCTTAACAAATGATATTATTATGTCTCATGAAATCATGTATATATAAAAAGATTATGATATTATAAAAAGATCGACTTTTGTATTTATTATATTATATACAAAATTATATAATATTTAAAAGTATATTATAAAAGACTGACTTTTTGAAAGAAATGTGGAAGAGAGATTACAAGATACCCTTTGTGATAATCTATTGTAAGCATATCAACTATATCATTAAATTTATGTTTCATTCCTGCTGATGTAGATCTTACAAAAATCGTAACTTTCGAACAGCTTGGATGCATAGAAGCTAACTAAATACTAAAATGCAAAGTTTTACTTGCTTGCTACGTTTGTTTTTCTCATTAGTTCATTATTGATGCGTCTGATGAACAAAAAAAAATTTTTATTTGCGGCAGGGGCTTGCACACGCTATTCACCACTTAACTTTCAACGCAGTCAATGTACATTAATTTATTCGTTGCTAAGTTTAGTTGAAACGATTTGTATTGCATGTCGTTCTTCTCCGTAACTCAACTCAGCGCCATAAACATAAACGCGAAAAAGACTTTAGGCGAGATGAGTCACGGGTCAGAAAACTTTTTGTGACCGTGAATACAATGCAATACCGTAATATTATGATATGAAAAATTATTGCCATTTTTACGATAGATTAAGTGATTGAGTTTGAAATGCTGGTCAAATAATTGTTGGGTGGCGAGCCGTGTAGCAGGTTGAACCTAAATTTTGGCTGGTGCATTCCAGGCCAAGTAGAGG